CAACAGAACAATATTTTTTTCATACTGTTTACTTCAAAATTCTGAAGGATGTTCTCTCTATAACATATCTTAAATTGAGTAAGATCTAAGGATCTCGATAGAGCCGCTGCTATGGATGTCGGTCGTAGCTTGCATGAACTGGCGCCTATACATAAGCTAACACGATCACATAGTAAAGCTTGAACGATGGATCGATCGAATACCATGAAGAGGTGGATAGTTCAGTGTTTTCGCCAAGATTTTTCATTTGTAGGAGTAGCAGACGATACAATGCACAGGTATGTAATCAATTGCATACGACATGCACACCAGCATTAATTTTGAGAAATTCTTTCAGAATAAAAAAAAACAATGCTTGCAGTCGGTAAAATATTGCATTCTCTATTTACTTTGTCGGTTTGTTTCATGGCAATGGAACGAGCCACACAAATGTCTCTTATCGAATCAAGCGTCATTCTGTACGAAATAGAAATGAAAACAAACATGTGCAAACGACATGAATTTTTTTGCGTCTTGTGCGGATGACTGGTTGATTGCGACGAACATGTATTTCCTTTTGCGAACACATAAAAAGCATACTCGTTGCATTCATATAAGTCTAGATCAAAGTTCCAATCAGAGATGGCATCGGTACCGGTCTAAACCACCTTATACTGGTCTAAATTTTTCACTTTCCTGCTCTTTGATGGCATTCACATGAAAAAACAACTGAAACCAAGACTAGTTCCACTGATCACACACAAATTTATTTAACAAATAGTTTTCAGAATGCCCATCACTGAGACTATTGTTATCAACGGTGAAGCATTATGCCATTATGCGTGAAGGTACGAAGATAGCGCGCAAGAGAATTCACCATGAAACAAGGTTTTATTTCAAGCCTCAGCGTGTTGTCTGTAGGTCGATATTTTGACAGTAGGCCGAATTTTTTCTGATAAACTGACGTATCATCAGCATCCTGTTTAGTACCGGTAGGCTGATTTTGACCGATAGACCGGTCAGATCAGCTTTCCCCCTTAAATCAGTTTAGGCCGGTAAACTGGTTTGGACCGGTCAGACCGGTTTTTTCGGTCTACCCGGCCCGGTGCAATCTGAAATTTTCAGACGGGTACCGGTACCGGCCCGAGAAAAAGTAGACTGGTTCCATCACTGGTTCCAATATCTAGAATTAGAAGTGTGAGAGTGTCCATGTCAATCATGGTCGGTCGTAAGTGGCCGTACACAAACCAATCACTGCGAATAACGGTGACTGTATACGGTAGCCATTTACAGCAACCGAAAACGGTGCTTTACAACATATTACGGCCATCGTACACAGCGCCCGTTAAAGGTCACCGTAAACCACTACCATAACTATACAACAACTCTATACTTTGGTTGAAAAACACTGTTTGACATCGTATATGTCAGCCGTTTGCTGTGACCGCTTACAACGGTCGTAGATAATGCTTTACGGCATATTGCGGCGATGGTAAGCAATGATCGTAAAATGTCGCCATGAACGACTGGCGTAGCAACATGGCGACTGTATACGGTAGCCGTTCACAGTGATCGTAAATAATGTTTTACGATGCTTTACAGCCGTCGGAAACAACCACCGTAATAAGTCGCCATTAACGACTTCTGTAACAATACACGACTGTATATATTCATTGAATAATATCGCCAGCTACCGTCTATGGCTACTGTAATTGGTCTGATACAGGATCATTATTTTTTAATGTATTTCGTCACAAAAGATTGTTAACGTTGAAGAATTCCTCTTATTCAGTATAAAAAGTACCCTCTCATGCCCAATTAAATATGTTGTCAAGCAACAAGACTGCATCTCCACAAAGTCGAGAAAGACTCGCCAGTTCTACCTTCTGCTATGATTATTGTCCATTTCCGAGTTAAATGGCCGTGGGCATTTTTTGAATAACTTTTGGTAGGAACGAGATAGAGATCTGAGATTTCCACTGTTGGAAAGGGCAGATGAAGATGCATCGAATTATATATAGGAAGATTTTCCTAATTACTTTCCTAAAGGTTTAGTCAAACGTTTTCAAAGAATTCCTTTTTTCTTCTACATGAAAAAAGTGGCTTGTCTATCAAAATACTACAAAAATTTACATTTTTCGTTTATTTTGTTGAAAAAGAGGAGGTGGTAAATTGTGTCCCGATAGTTTGGATATCATACTGGTAGTAGTTAGGAATAGAGTCTTGATATACTTTTGTAGCTCTTCCTTTGGTGACTCTAGCGCACCTATGAATATCAGTAAATTAAAATTGGGACCATAATAAGCATGCTGCTTTTCTTGAAGTTTTATGTAAAACCTATACAAAAGTAGCTAGGAAAATTTTTCTACATATAATTCGATGCGTCTTCATCTGCTTTATCCAACCGCGAAAACCGCAGATCTCTATCTCGTTCCTATCAAAAGCTATTCAAAAAATGCCCACGATCATTTAACTCTGAAATGGACAATAATTACGATATACTGCTCTTAACATCTTAATAATTGCTGACAAAGAAGTAACTGAGAAATATGCAATTAAGTGATGTAAATTTGATAAGTAATATGGATACATTGATAGACAAAAGTTTGTGCAGAGATAAAAGTCCGTTTTATAATAAAAAAACGTATTGAATAGGAAGCGTTATTCAACGGCTTGTTTGCGTTATTAGTGAAAAAGAACGCGTTCAAACGAAGATTTTTGCAAATTTTTTTTCTTCATAGAATCATCTTCTAGAAGAATGATTCCATCCGTAATATACAGATGAGTTTAACTTAGGCAAAAGGATCACAATACATCAATCTTAGTCTGTCTCTACATATCTTCTAAGAACAGTTCTGTCTGCTTTGCCATTTTCGCAAGAGAATTTCTGAGCGAGCTCTATCTCTCTATATTCCTATTAGTGTTTCGTGATTTTTTTCGCGTAATCTCAAAAATTTTATCATAGTTATCTTTTTCAGAAGCGTTTTCATGATGTACTAAATCCCAGTTAGATAAACTATTGCATTTCTTCCCTTCGAAAATATTGATGAGCTACATCGATTCTTTCATGCACAATAGTTCGTAGTCTAGCATATGCTTCTATTTTGTTCTCGTCCAGAAAGTCAGCCATTAGTCGAAGTAGTTTGTTGAGAGCATTTTTTTTTGGTTTACCACGTGCATCGAAACGTTTTATTAGTTCGTACAGTAAATCTCGGGAAAGAAATCGTAATATAACGTCATATGAAATATAAAAATGCAAGAGCATTGCAATTGGGTTGACTCCCTTCCATTTGCATATGTCATCGTACAGAGCTTTTTCTTATCCTAATAATCGTATAGATTGTGCAAGATCATCTATACATATAAGTCGGACCCTTGTTTCTTCCAACTTACAGCAAGTAAAACAAGATGATGTCACCGTATTCAATTATCATATCAAAGACGAATTTGAACTTGAAAAAAGTTGCAGATAAAAAAATTGGATTCGACTATAATAGAAACAATTGATTTTTGTTCGATTGTATTATCTGCAGATTTTACGAGTAACATTTTTATTGACAATTCTGGTTCGACCAGTAATCACTTGCCATCTAGTCATGAAACAATTTTGCAAACTGAATTGAGTATTTGTCAAAATATTCGTTTCGATTTTATTGTTCTTTAGGATTCAACCGCTGAAATATTGCAAAATATTCAAATTGCCAAATCATTAGGTGGAACGTATCCACACGTTATTTTTCAAAATCCTTCGACGAAAACAGCATTTCAAAAATCCGATGTGCTGGTCTTTGTGACAGATGGAGAAATTGATCAAGACAATGTGACACAAGTAAACAAATCTCTTGTATAGATTTTAGAAGAATATTCATGTCTTTTGCGTTTCCAAAATATCCGGATTTTTACTATTGGATAGTTTACCATGCCCTTCGACTGATGAATAAAACTAAAATTCAGGCATTTACTTAAATCCATTTTCTCAGTACCAGTTTTTAAACATGAAATGAATCTATGATGCTTTTGTTTTCTACATCCTTGGTTCACTCGAGATTACACTTGTACTAAAATTATCGGATCTGCTATTTGCTTTTCTTTTTAAAAGTCTTACCTTGCTAAATTTGGGTAGGTGTTCCAAAATTGGGTTTATCAACTAATAACCTCAAGTCAATCTTCGGTGTAACCATCTCAATATTTTGACTCTTCTATTCGACAAATACAAGATTTTAAAGAAGGAAAAAATAGACAACTTGATTTCGTCCTATTAGATTCAGAAGAAGTCTCAGATAGGACAAACGAAGTTCGAAGAATAACGTGAATAACATTAGTTAATATTTCTAACCTTTGCAAGCTGATAGCTCTGAAGAGAGGACTTCTGAGCATTTTGGATCTATCAAAAATTTTAATCTACTACTCGAGACCTATGTATTTTGAAAGCTTATAATTCTTCATTGAAATACTTTCGAGAAATCTTGAAAACGAATACAGATGTTTCCTTTGAATTCCGCTAAAACTTGAAATTCTTATTGTATAACAGTAAGCTGATGTTCATAGAGAGAAAAGCTCAATATTTTTCAGAATCTATTTTCTACATAAAACTTGAATGAAAATAATTCGTTGAAAATTTCAAGCAGAAACGAACTATGTCGGAAAGAATTTGTTAAATAAAAATAAACAGAAATCTCTTTTGAAATGTTCATATTTGAGGAAGTGCCGATATTTGACGCCATCAAGTCTACCCTTCATAGTATTTTAATAAAAAAAAAATCGTTTTTTCTCTCTGACTTCTCGTAAAATCCAATTGTCAACAATCAACCGTATGAATTTAGCTAATAGAGAACTGATTCAACGTATTTTCTGCAATTATTTTTTCTCTCTGTTCTAGTTTGCATCATATACAACAGGTAATTTGTATTATTGTAAACAGAAAGCTCAACAATCCATCCAATGTCAATATTTCAGTTGTTGCTTCATTGATGGTAGCACCGAATGTTTTATGTCTATTTTATGATGGTGAAACATTTTATATTTTTTTATCAAAAGATTTATTAGTAGAATTTATTCATCACCAGATAGTTTAACAGATTATCAACCATTGCCTACACTCAAGATGAATGAACTCTTTCAAAATGTAAACATCTATGAACATGTCAAAATTCCTGATGGTTACGTTAATATTCGTGAAACTGAACGAGAAATCGTTGCATTAGATTTCGAGAAATTTATTAATACGAAATATCTCAATTTGGTAACAAATATCGATCATGAAGAATGGAAAACATTAATTCAATACGCTAAAATTAGTAATAAATTATCTCAATTACGAACATTTGTTACACAAATGAAAAATGAAGCTATTCAACATGAAACAACAAGAATCAAAGATAAATTTGATTTTCAATATGGTCAACAACGTGATGCAATCGTAGCAAAAATTGTTGATTTGCAAACATCAGGGATAGGTGATCCAATTGAGCTCAATACTCTTCGAACACAATTACATGCCGTATCGGATCAAACTAAAATTGAACAATTGGAATATATTAAATATGTCAATTTAAATCTTCATAGAACACATCAATATTGAAATATTATTCAAAATATGATTCATGAACAAGAAATTGGTTCTTATTTGATCAATGATTTTACTTTTTCTTCGAATCGAGCTAACAGAGCCAAAACTGTCACAACAAATGATAATGATTTTGACGAATCATTAAACATTTCGATCATACGGGTGTGTCAATGTGTGAATGTGCAATTTGTATGGAACAAGGATCACAAGTTCTTTGATTAAAATCACCAATGAATATTGACGGTATGACCAATGATTTTATTATCAATTTTCCATTACAACAAAATAAAAAATTATATGATTGTATTGTTGCTAATGCGGTTTGTGGTTATTGTGCAAATGCATATATTAATGCCGCACTGACAACCAATAACGCATTGAAAACACTTTATCGTGAACCATGTTCAAATTTTATTCCTCTCAATTAATCAACAATAACAAATCGAAAATATGCCAATTATATTCTTTATCGTGCATTAACCGGAAATAAAATTCTTCATCATGTATCGATGTTACTTTTGGCTTTAGTTGATGATATGAAAATGAATTGGTTTAATGAACAAACAAAGACTTATTTCATTCGACAATTGGTTAACAATATATATACAACAGATTCATTTCCGATGAAGGTACTCGAATGCCAATGATTGATGCATTAAAATTAATTATTCAACAAGAAGATAAATTAATGAAACAATCGTTTACTGCTGTTTATCGAATTTTACATTTGAATTATCTATTTCATCAATTAGATCAAAATATAATGATTAGTCTCGTCAGAAAACGTTTTCTATTGATGTGTATCGAAGCTCAATGTTCGAAAACAAAACTTGGTTCAGAACATTTAATTATCATACGGCAACAGTTGTACGATATTATATTCGATATATTTTGCGATATTCCACAACAAAATTCTTTCCGATCCGTGAACATTGATTATGAACAATTGAAAGAATTTTTGAGTACATTCTATGAAAGTTTTATTTCGACTATGAATAAACTCTCGATGGAAATTGATGTTGATCGTTCAAACATATTACCGAGTGAGATTGTCTCGTTTGTACTTCACCTTCTTACAACAATACCTATTCATGATCGACGAATGAAATTGTACACAGATTTTGCTTTAAAATATCGAGAAGTTTGTCAAAATATGCAAATTCAATGGTCTGATTTAATCAAAATGGTTGATAAAGACGTTTTTGATAACTATCATTCCCCATCAAAAATACTTTTAGCTAGTTATGCAATTAATCTCGGTCGTTTTTCTTGTCCAAGTAAATTATTTTTTTTTACCGAACCTCTTTGGAATACGAACGTGAATAATCAACGTATCAATTTGACAACATTGGGCAATCAACTGAAAACAAAACTTGATCAAAAATTGACAGAATGGTATGGAAATTCAACTCTAGTTTCATCTAGTGCACATACTATTCTACATAGTATTGTTGCTAGTGTTGTCGAAGAACATTACACAAATACTGAAACAATTACTGCTCAGATGATCATGGATTGTATGGTAAAAATTGGACAGACAGCGAACAGAAAAGACAACATTTATAGTGAAAATGCTTTTCCTTTGGTCGTTTTGACTATCGAAGATTATTTAAAATTTCGTAAGATAACAACAAATATGGCCATCGTCGGTAATAATATGAAATCACGTTCTTATGAGTATAAAGTTCTCGCAGAATTATTGGCCAGTGGAATGAAATATGATGAGACAACAAGTGAAATTGATTTCGATGAATCTCGTTTGAAACTTCCACGTATCATCGATCTAACAGAGAGTAAACTCGATTTAAATGATTTGAAAAGAGAAGTACAAGAATTGTACCGAAGAACAAAAGCCATTAGCAACAGTCCTGTGACTCAAACATATCTCAATATTGAAATAAAAGATTTTGTCGAGTTTGGCTATAAAATGGATGCCCAAACTCTACTACCCATATGGGAACTGTAAGTCAAATTTATTCATATTACATCATTATTGAAATTTTGTTTTGTGAAATATTTTTAGTGAACAAAAAAATATTCTTTCATCAATCGTAACCGATATTGGTCAAATCGATCAACCGATCAAATTTACTTAAGAAACACGCACCTGAAGAAAATTGATATGTTGAAATTATTGGTGACAGTGGTGCTATTCTCGGTTTGGCATATGATATCACTGGTTTCGTCAAGAATGCGGTCTATATCAGTGCCGGGCACAAGATTACGCTCAAAACAGCATGTAACATTTTCAATAATATCACCAAATATCGTATTACCGAACCGATTCGTCAAGTGGATCACTTGAGTCGGAAACTTGTGGTCAAACTCGCATAAATAAACATCATTTCTTTTCTTTGAAGCAAACATGCATTTTTTTTTTGAACTATAGAAAACAGTCTAACCTGGAAAACATTGCAAGTGTTACAAAGTCGAATAAATATGAAGACAACTAAGGACACAAGCATACGGTATAACATCTATGGAGAGACACCGCGAATTAGAATCCAGGTGAAAAAAACATACACAGATCGTATAAGATCTTACTGAGATCGGATGTTGCAAGATTCATATTGTATGATTCTACGAGATCGTACAAAAATCTTACCGTAAGATTCTTGCAAAATCAGATCATTGAAATATTGTATGATCTTATAAGATCATAATTTTAAGATGTGGAAGTCGGTGCGTGTGTATGAAGAGAAGACCCACACTCACATCGACACCCTTATTGGAGAAAATTGTGGTTTTTTCAATTAGATAGGATTAGTACTTCCTGGATAATCTTCGCACTTCAAGGACAACAAGAAAAGTGAATCTATTGTCACAATCCTCTATTCTAACAAGTGCTTGCTTTGTTTGAGACTTTGCAAATATGTAGAAGACAATTATAATGGAACCGCTTGGAGTTTTATCACATAGAGGTCGAGGAGGCATGATTGTAATTTAAGAAGAGTTCTGCGATTATTTTTCAACCATTATATTACTTAAAATTTTTGAGAAGTGTTTTGCCTAAATTAATTAACGATCTTCTATACTAGATTAGCGAAATTTAACTAATTTTCTCCTTTCATTTTTATTTCCACAAATTACTCGGCTTATTCAATCTTCTTATCATGTCGAATACAACTTCTGATTTAGTTCATAAATAAAATATTGCTACATACTGGATCAATCAGATTTATCCACTTCTCCAAATCGCTTTGATAACATTTGAAAATGTGCTCAACATCATTATATTTACTCGTCGTACTTTGGATAGCAATGCATATTCATCATATTTTTTGGTCAGTTCAATTAACAACTGTTTTATGATCGATATAGCTTTACTTGCATGTTATTTTGCAAGTAGTTGAGATTGAAATCGATCGGCTAAGAACACTGTCTTATGTAAACTACGAAACTGTCATCTATTCTCCTTTTACTTTCGCTCTGTGGTTTATTGTCCTTGCTAGTATCGATCGATTTCTTTCAAGCTCACAGAGTACGTGACATCGTCAAATGAATAGTTTACTGGCAGCCACGCAAGAACTTTGTAATTACTACTGTACTCATTTTTTAAGTTATTTGCACATACTTATTTACTTTAAAACAGATCCAAGTAGCAATAGGATCAATTGCGTTTTCTCTTCATATGAACACATTTTCTTTTTAAGTTTCTTGGTGCAGTTATTTCTCGTGTTGTGCCGCTTGTATTAATGAGTATCTTTGGCATTTTGATGATTCTCAACGTTCGTGGTATGCATAATGCGCGAAATGAACGTTTGTGCTCAAATAATCGTCAATTGACTATAATGCTTTTATTTAAAGTGTTCATCACTACTCTGATCTCAACTCCTTATTTTGCTCTTGCTATATATAATGCAGTTGCTATAGTTATGTTTCAATACAAATTCTCACCATCTGGACTGATTGTTTATAATTTTGCATATGATTTCGTTCGATTACTTTACTATACTAATCCTGTTATTACTTTCTATATTTACATCCTGACTGGTCCGAAATTTCACGTCGAAATGAAACGTTGTATTCAACATGGATTGAAATCCGTTTTTATAGCAGTTGGCCTACTGCGATGTTTACCAGTGAGAGCTCAACAAGCATTACTCGGCGAGAATCAAGTCACGGCTACCAATAATATATCTTTATCATAAAGTGGAAGAGTAAGAGATGCTGTTCATCCTACTCAACAAAAAACAACAATGATCATGACATCCATTGTATAGATATGTCTACTTAGATTATTAAACATTTATCAATAATTGTTGTTGTAGTCACTCTACCATTATCGAATAAATCGTCTACATTCAAATCAGTTTTTTTGTTGTAATAAAATCATAAATATGTCCGCTTTCTGAAATTCTCTTATTTTGTACCGAAACTTTTGAAAGAAAAACGACTCGAATGTCACTCACTGATTCATGCAAACATATCGATCACACCACTTCGTCTTTCTATTATTTTTTCAACTCCGTACAAATGCATAAAAATATTTGTCTGTTAGACCTCTTCATCAAAAGTTTTGATTTCGAATTTATGCAAATATTGTATGAGTAAGAAGCATTACTATAAAAGGTGGAGAAAAATATTTCATAGGATAGATTTATATTCGTAAGAAATTGAATCGTCATGAATCCATACATGTTCGACAATTTGGTCAGCTTATTGAAGAAAAATAATATTTCTGATTATCAGGTGGATATGATTCAAATAAATATAGGTGCTGCTGGACATGTATCAGCATCACAAGTGGCAAAATTGCTGAAATTTCTTTCTTACGATGATGATAAACTTGAAGTGGCAAAAATGGCGTATGGTTATGCGATCGATCCAGTTTCTTATGGTACTATTGTTGGTGCAACATTTTCGTTCAGTGATACGAAAGCCAAATTAAATGAATATATTCATCGCTATCGGTGAATTCATTTATTTCCTTCTTAATATTTTTGTAAAACAATATGAATTTTCTATTTAACCTTGAAAAATAAATATTACAAGAAAAAGTGAACTGAACAATGGGTGACATTAAAGTATCAGTTGATGTAGAATTTCAAGCATCAAACGAAGATTTGTACAATAGTAGTTAGAACTAGCTTCTTTTTTTTCATATGATGAGGAATTTAATTTTGCGAAAAAAATGATTTTCCTTATAAAAAAACATTTGGCACATTAAAAATATACATGTTTTAGCCTAATACTGTTAACACCACTATACCATTGAAACACTGCTAGTACCGCTATACTGGTAACACTACTGGCACCGCTAACACTGCCAGAGCTCTTATATCTGTAGTGCCGCTAATATTTCTCATATCTTCCTCGATTTTTCCGAAAAAATCTCTTTTAAAAATCTCTTTTTCTTCGAATTTGCCACAAAATCAAATTTCCCATTAACTCTCTTTTTTATTTGTTAAGTCATATAGCCAGTGTAATGTTTAAACTATCACATATATTAAATTATAAAAATCATGATCTAACAAGCCAGTCTGCTTTATGCTTTAAATATTTGTCGAAATTTCGATATCCAATTTACTTATGTTTCTCATATAGTAATACGGTACTATTTTCATTCGCGAGTCACGCTTAACTGAGAGGAAAGAAGAATTTTCTATTGACGTGTTATGAAGAGGTGTATGTAAGTCGATATGTGTCAATCTCATCTTTCTTTTATTTATTCTCACTTCTTTGCGTCTTTGCCACGAGTAAGTTCATTTCAATGATGCCTCTAAACCGGACTATTTTTTAATGATCCAATCTGATCACTGATAAAGGGAGTTTGCTCGATCTTGTATATCAATGAGTACTGTCATTCGACTGAAGGCATGCAATTTTTATTATCTATAGAAGATTTTTAATGAATTCAGAATAAAATCGATGATTCTTGTTATTAAAAATGATTGATTTTAATCTAATTTATCGATGTTTTATAGTTATTGCATAGTAAAGAATTTCTCTAACGATTCTTCGTTGAAAAGGAGATGTGTATTTTCGATTCTATTCTCACAGTAATCATCAAAAACACGTCGACATGCCATCATGTAATGTGTTTCAGAGCCGATGAACTTGGGTGTGGGCATGACTCAGAGTTGGAACTGGTCCGGCCGGACAGGACCGGATTTTCGCCAGTTCATCATTAAAAAATTGTTCCTTGTGTCCAAGAATTTCCTCTACTGAAAAAGGTGTTTTTATAATATTTTCACGTCAGAAGAATGTGTGTGTGCGAAAGACTCAATGAATATTGTGTCATCCACCTAACTGTAAACAGTTCATTGTTCTCCTTATATCTTTATCGATTCCTTTCTGGTGTACCGCTTAATTTAACCTAGATCATATAATCTGTTTGTGTTATTCTACTTAGACAGCTGCCTGAATCATGAAAAATAAATATTTACACTGTTGTGCTAGATTTATTGTAAACTAGCTCTTTTTTCTTGAAATTAAGATGAAAAAAAAACAGCTTTGATCTGAGTAGCTAACTTATATAGATATCGGGCTCGAAAAGTCCACATACCTTGCTATAAAATATGATGGTGACAGTTTCATTCCCAAGTTTTAGTTTCCAGTTCTGATTATGGATGGCGAACACCTGTTAACTTATTTTAAATTTAAATTTTTGCGAAGTTAAATTTCAAATAAATAAAAATCTTTTAGAGATGAAAATTTAAATTTATTTTAAATGTACATTTTGTAAATTGAACCTTATTTTAAATTTTTGTAAGCCTTTCAAATTTAGTCAAATCCAGTTCAAATCAATCTAACTTCAATGTACACCCATTTAATTGGATTTAAATCCAACGGAATGAATTTAACTTGAATTTTATTTGGTGTAAATTTAAGTTATATTGCTTTAAACTAGATTTAAATAAATTGGAAAAACTTAAATGTATATAAATCCAATTTAAATTGAAAATCAATTTAATTTTTTAAATTTATTTTTCGATTTATTTAAATTTTGGTCAATGTAAGTTAATTATTCTTAATTAGGATTTCTGCACATGAATATTCAATTCTCCTTCATTACTGTTATCTGTGAATAGATGCTTTTATGGTCGGTTATATTCGCCGGATTTTTGCCAGTTTAGCTGTAACATTCACCAGA